TAGAAATATTTGAAGCCCACAGAGTTATTTTTTTTATTATGTTTCTTTAGTGGGGAACTGATAGTTGTTTTTGGATATTTTGTAATTTGCATGCCTATATAATTTATCAGTTGCTTCTGGAAATACACTTCATTCAGTTCTCTAGAATGTTCATCCCAATCTAGCTTATCGGTTCAAATTAAGCTAAATACATTTCAGGAACATCAAAACAAAAGGTGTGCAAAGTCTTACAGTTTATTTCCATTAGAAAAAGCTTGTGCCACATTTTTTACTCTGGCTGTGTACAGTTTGGCTTTAACTGCACTTCTAGTACAGAAGCACAGGGGACTCTGTACCTTACATGTAGAAATTAATGTGTTTCCCCCCATTGTGACTTTCAGCCTTGTGGCTTCTGGAGATGCTGCTCCTTGCTGTGTCTGGAAAGAACTCTTGAGAGACAGTAGATGGGCTGCTCATCCAACGTAATGCACAGCACTGTTCTTGTCACCCAAGTGCCTCTAGGAACAGCTTTTTTAACAGCCCTCCAGGATGTAAACAGAAGTCAGGAGGCTGCAGGCTAAATTGGGAGAACACACTTATATTGTCAGGTAATATAAAGAGTCCAGCTTAGTTTTTTTGTGTATCTGCAAAGACAGTGGCATCTAAACGGTCCACACATTCATTATATCATTCTTTGGGGTCTATTTATAAACAATTTCAAGGATTATTATTATTTTACAGGGTTTATATAGCAGCAGCAGTTTGCACAGCTCTTTACAATATAAGGAACTCATTACACTTGCAATACAAATCAAGACAAGATGGTAAGGAGGGCCCTGCCTGTGAGAGCTTACAATCTAAAATGGAGGGGCACGTTATACAAGATGCGGTAGCTGTGTGGGCATAAATTGTTGATAAGGTGATAGTTTAGTTGTTAGTTTGAGGCGGGATAGGCTTTCCTGAAGAGATCAGTAGGAGATAGCTGGACAGGTTGGGGTGAGGCGTTCCAAAGGATGGGAGCGACTCTAGAGAAGTCCTGGAGGTGAGCATGGGAGGAGTTGCTGAGGGAGCTAGAGAGCAGGAGGTCTTGCGAGGAGAGGACGGTTAGTGTGATACTTGGAAATGAGGCTGGAAATATAGCTGGGGGATAAGTTGTAGGTGGCTCTGTAAGTGATTGTTTACATTTTGGATTTTATCCTTTGGGCAACTGGAAGCCAGTGGAGGGATTGGCAGACACTGAGCGGCTGGTTAAGTGGATGAGTCTGGCAGCAGCATTCATGATAGACTGAAGGGGGATCACCTTCTAGAGGTAGGCCTATCAGGAGGGAGTTGCAATAGTGGAGACAAGAGATAACAAGCAAATGGATGAATAGCTTTGTAGTTTCATTTGTTAGCAAGGGTCATATTTTGGAAATGTTATTTATGTGAATGCTGCAGGATTTCAATAGTGATTGGATGTGTTTGAGATAGGTGAGGTCGGAGTTGAAGGAGAACCATGAAGTGAGTGATTTTCACTCATCCTCATAGATAGAGCCCACGTGTGACATTGAAACTGTCACACATTGACTCTATAGATCGGGAAGTGAGCAAACAACGCCGCTTGCTGACTTTGCAATCACTTTTCAAGAAATTCTGCGACATCCAGACTGTCCATTAGTAAATTAATGACATGCAATAACACTAAAGGGGTAAGTTGTGGAGTGGAGAGATATATTTGAGTGTCATCACCATAGAGATGGTATTAGAAGCCATGCAAGGTTGTCAACTTACCAAGGGAGGAGAGGTGTAGGTAGAAAAGAGAAGGGGTCCAACGACAGAGCCTTGGGGGAACCCCATGGGAAGAGGAGAGAAGAAATTGGATTTGTAGGTGACATCAAAGAAGTGCTTAGATAAGTAGGAGGAGAACCATGAGAGAGCAGAGTTTGGGAGGCCAAGCAAGTGGAGTTTTTTGAGAAGCAGCAGATGGTCAACTTTGTCAAAAGCAGCAGAAAGGTCTAATAGCAAGAGTAAGGAGTAGTGGCCATTGTTTTTAGCAGTTAATAAGTCATTAGTGAGTTTTAAGAGGGCAGTTTCAGTGTAGTGTTGTAGACAAAAGCTAGATTATATGTGGTCGAGCGGGTTGTTATCAATGGGGTGGCGGCTCAGGCCATTGTGGATTAGGCGTTCTAGGAGTTTTGAGGTGACTGGGAGTAAGGAGAGATTGTTAAGATTGGTGGGGTCCAGTGAGGGTTTTTTAAGCATCAGAGAAAAGCTTTGTAACCTTCTCTGTAGTGACAGGGTCGAAAGAGAAAAGTAACAAATGTGATGGTGGGCCTGGCATGTTAATTGAGAAAGATGACTGGACAATGGAGATCTCATTCACTTTGCAAATATCTATACACCTTTGTTTTGTGCAAATTAATGTGCTTTCATTTCTCTTCACAAATTAAATGTAATTCTGAATGGTTTAATGTAATTTAAGTATTGCATTATTAGCATAGAAAATAAGTATCCTGCCCTGCAAATTTGTTTATAAATAGACCCCCTAGTGTCCAGCACATATTTTCGTTTTGTATTCATTACAGAAAAATAGCATTGGCATGCACTACTAAATCTCCCACATACTTCAGTTAAGTAGAGTTAATGCTTATTGCAGTGAAGGGAATTGATGCGCATTGGGCAGCTTTAGTGCATTTAAGATCTCTTTCTGCACGGGGTGAAGATAGTAATAATTAGGAACTGGTAGACAAAAGATTGCAATCTTTTAGATAAACCTTGAATAAAAAACTATGGTTAGAAAAAAAAGATTGCAATCTTTTAAAGATGGAACAACCAGACATTTAAAATATCTGTTTATCATTCATTGGACACTTATCAGGTCCCCCTCTACCCCAATGAAGCTTTAGATCTATTCATGCATCCATTAAGTCGGTGGAGGACGGCTCCAATGTTTAGATTCCAGAAAGTGGGCTAATGTCTTTCCTTCCATGGGACCTAAAGTACATATTTACATTTTTTTAATATATAAATTGTCCATTACTTCAATGCACACATTCTCAGAATATCACCCTTTTCAATTGTCACCATTTGTCAGCACTAGGTAGATGGTTCTATACAAAATATATATTTTTATCACTCTGTGTAAGAGAAGGTTTAAGCAGTATTTGCTGAGGTTGAAGCGTAGCTTGGTGGGCCAGCAGGTGGTTGTTGTAACGTCATTTGAATAACGTAAAACATTTTGCTTCTAGAAACCATTTTATGCACAATAGACATTGATTAACCTTTTTGTGACCAAAGGATGATACCTAGATGCCCAGGCCAAATTTATTAGCATGTGTCGATTACCTTGACAATAATGCAATGGCTAAGTCATTCTTATATATTTAAGAACACATAAGCTTTTATTTGGTATACTGTTAAATTATTAAAAACCCTGCATTGATTTTTATTATAGCCTGACAAATGCACAAAAAATTCCAACCAAATCTTTTTTTTTAAAATATTTTTTTCATCATTAAAACTTTCAGCCTCCATGTGATCACTTTGAGATAGCTGACGTAGTGATCATATATTTGGGAACCACTCTGACTAGTTCCTAATTGTTAGTAGGAACCAGAGCTCTCATCAGCCCGATTTGAAGGCTCATAGCGACATAAAATTTTAACTTCTAGCTCTCGAAGGGAGGACCTTTATTAACTTATCCACATTACACTCCATTGTGCTGCGGAAAAGTATTATTGGGATTGGTGGCAGGAATGAATTATAGTTAAGGAAAAGCTGAATTAGAAAAAGTGTATTTTGCATCTTCACCTACATTTGGCCATACACATTGCATCTGTTTGTACAATCCCTGTTAGATTTACCAGAAGTATGTAATTTGATGGCTCTCATGAACAATCTATTCGATTTGTATGCCAGTCACTTGCAGCATATTAGGGTGTATCTGTACTGTAAACTAAAATTCAGGTTGTGCACCTGGTCTGGGAGCATAAAAGAGTGATTTGCATGGATCCACCATGGATTTGTTGCATGGATTTGTAATGGAAGTGAGACATCTATTTAATTAATGGGTTATATGAATTACACAAATTTGGTGGCTTACGAAAGAGTGGTATAGCCCTGACAGAATCTAATTAACCATGTGCCCTGCCTGGTCTTGATAAACTAGTTGTTTTTCTTTAAAAAAAGGTGCATAAGCAAAACTACACAATAAATGGGAAAAAAATAGGGAGGTTCTAAAGTATGGCTTTCCACAGATTACACTATATGTAAAACCAATGTGGTGGTGTGGTAGCAATTCTGCACTGCTTCTAAATTCAAAGCAGAGTTGCCACTCTTATGCAGACTGTGCCTGCTTGCACTACAGAGGGATACAAAACTGTTGCCGGGGGTCATGGGTTTCAGCATGTCCACTGCTGATTTATAAAGTCTGTAGCTTGTAAATCAGGACCTGGCCACACCTAGTCCTGCCTAGTGCTTTCTAGAGTGACAGCACTGCCTCTGTTGCTAAAACTTTCCCACTGTGAGCTGCAGTGTCTGGGAAGGGAAGTGTATAAGGCACAAATGAAAGAGGATCAGCGAAGGAAGGTAAGATACGTTTTTGATTTTTTTTTTTTGCTTCATGAGGCTTATGCATCACATGTTAACCAGATTTGTTACTTCTTTAGACTGTTATACAGGAGCCCTTTTGGGCAATTTTTATGTAGACTCTGTAATCCGTAATAGCTTGGTTATGTAGTGGTGCTCAACCACCTATAATGTTACCCCACTTTATATGGTTATGTCATATCTGTTCAAAAATTGACACTGAAACCTTATTTTGCCCCTGGTTTGACAGGTTGTGGGCACAATTTGTAAGTAATGAATGCTTTGCTAAAATCATTTTTCTTTGTTGGTTTTTGACAGCTAAAACTATTTTTCCATATAGAACATTTGCTCTGAACTATATGGGAGGTCAGATTCTGAATGCTGTATTATTGTTGGACTGAACTTTGGAGAAACATTTTACTGTCCTTTTAATATTTTATGTATATATATTTCAGCTGAAGGTTTTCCTGGCACCATGTATTGAGGCCTTGATCCTCCTGGACCGACTCTGCTATCTGAGAGAACAGGTATGTTTACTTTGACACGTCCGACACATAGCAGGTTTCCTCCATCACATGAGATCATTCACACTTACTGAATAAGAAAAATCTACTCGTAGAGAACACACTCAATGATGTGCATCATTCGGAATTGTCAGAAGAGAATAGATCTCTGTTTCAAACATATGCCCAGCAGATGTTATTATTTTTAGTAAAGTTAGAGCAATAAGTTTAATGGTATTTTAATTGAACTCTAATTTGCAGCCATTATGTTTATAGCCACTCTATGTAGATAGTTCCCTTTGTCACAGACATTTGCTGAGCTGATCAAGCTATATCATTTTTGTTATTTATTCAAATACTTGAATTTTGATTACTGTAAACACTGCCACCTAATTTAATAGGATGCAGTCAGGCTAGTGAATGCCACATGCCAAAATACTTGGTAAACACGTTAAGAAATACGTTGGCTATGTTTTGAAATGGCCTTATGCAACTTCTGCTTTGATGTCTGAAAAAGATGTTTGCAATCTTCCTAAAATGAAATGCACTCAGTAGAACAGTCCTGTTTTTCCACTATAAACATTTTAACAACCACAGCATGTTTTTTTGCAGTACCTTCTTTTCAAATCTTTTCTTGGAATCAGTGTGCTGCTGTAAAGGTCTGATTTTGTCCTATATAGTATTTTTTACACACAAAAAAAGTAATTTTGAAGTATGCAGATGATTATGTAGTTTTCGCTCTACCAGCTTCCTGTAAATCAGAAATCAGTATGATTTCCAAGAGCACAGATCAGGCACACTTCACACAGTTTTCATTTACTCTCGCTGAACCAAGGGGAGAATCGACCTAGTTTGTACAGAAGTAAAGCCGTATTGCTGGCTTATACTCTGTCCAAAATGAAGAAACAAAATCCTGCAAGACATTGTAGTGTATCTATGATCCTTTTATCTGCTTTTAAGGAAACTCATAATTCTATCCAACTGTTTCCAGAGGCACATACTTTGCCTCCCAGAGCTCTAGCTAAATGTTAGTTTTCTTTGTGTGGCCTGATCCTGGTCTGATTTCAAGCATCCCTTTTTATCATCATGATACTGGGCCTGCAAAACCAACAGGCAGCGCCTTGTCCTCGTGTAATACAGGTTATTAATCAATGAATATACAAGCTGACATAAAATACTACTCGCATGGTAATCACTGAATGAATGGTACAAGGCAGACCCCACACAAAGCTGCCTTGCTAGCTGACGCGTTTCAGGGAATATGCCCCCTTCCTATGAGCTCTGAGGAAGGGGGCATATGAGTTAAACTTCTTACTGCCAGGTACTTCAAATCTCATGTATAGTGGATTCACAAAACCTTCACAGTCTGTTATGTAGGGTTAGGGGAAGCTGTCAGTCATACTGTAGCATTGTAGAATCATCCATGTGGTAAAGCCCTCATCATAACCTTGTGGTTTGTTGAATGCACTTAAACTGAATGGTGTCCTTATGATTTGGCTTGAGTTCTGTTATATCACAGTGTAATCATTAAATCTGTTGTAGGAAAACATTGCCTGGTCTGGAGTGGTGAAGCTTTTTGACCCTGTGAAATCCCCTAGATGTTATGCAGTGGTTTCACTGAAGCAGCCTTAAAGACACTGTGTGTGACATAAGTTGTATATCTGTCTATTCTGTACAATATGTGGGGAACATAGGGAAATGAATGTGTTTATCCTCTTGAATATGTGTAAAGTTTACATATGTTGTACTCAAATGTACCACAGTTTGCATGTTTTCCTTCAAAGCTGATACGTCAAACTTGGAGAGTTCTTATGATTTAGAGTAAAAACCTTTCTTCTTCCTTAAAGTGTATGTATATCCAAAATGTGTTGTTTTTTTTACATTTTGGATGAAGTAGGTAAGCAGTGTTTCTGCTTATGTACTATTGGGGAAATTCCCCTTCACTTCCTGTCCAAAAGCCACAACAGCAGGAAGTTGGAGAAAATCTCCAAAAATAAGGGACATTTTCCCTCTTAGACAGCTGTCCCAGCAACAGGTGTTCTCCATTGAATGATTTCCCCTTACCTCTTGTTCTGGGGAGAACTCTAATAGTTTGGGTTTCTACTCATTTGTTACTCAGGGACAATGGTCACTAGTACAAACAGAGGGTACATTTCACCAATGGAGTTTAAAAATACAATTTTTCCCTGGACAAATATAGAAATATTTGTTACTCCTTTCAGTAAGTCTTGTGATTCACTTGACACTGCCATTTTACACAGGCACATGACACCACTGCTTCCTTGTTCGTCTTTGCATACCCATGCACCATCCTCCTGCTTACTGGAAAATGAATGGCCAGTTAATGATGTTGATTCATAACTTAATGAGCAGGTTGGGCATGACTAATACCACAGGAAGCTGCAAAGCTGAACCAAGAATGGCTAATGGCACATTCCTAACCTCATAGTGGCAGAGATTTGCAATTCACACAGCCTGAACAGAATTACAGATCATTTACCGAGTAGAACATTTCATATGTGTATTTAACTGTGTGTCTGGAGTTCTGCTTTAATAAATTCTATGTTTTTAGTTTTGTTTTAGTGCAGTTTGTTGTGTTTTACTATGTTCTTGACTTGCTAGCAATTGTCTGATTTATATAACTGCAATATTGTCACTTTTAATGCAACAGCAATAAATATTTTTTATAATATAAAAATGATGTGTGTCATCATGCTGTTATAAAAATAATATATGCACATAGTCAATACCCATAAGGTAATGGGAAAAAATAAATTACAATATGCGTCCGCAATGTTGCTGATTGCATATGTTATTTATGTGCACCTTTTTTCCTTATTCCATTAATTTGTTTATGACTCTTGTGTTACCGACCAGCATATTTAATTCAAAGAGTGAGAGTTTTGTCAGGGAATCTCCATCATTTACCCCCACGTATACTCTCTGCCTTCCCGGTTATATGCTATTGCCAAGGACATTAAGCATGACATTGCAGGTTTGTACCACAGTTCAGTTTTACTTTGCAACTGTGGTATGTACAGTATTCATATTTCCAGGTTTTTATGCAGAATGGGATAGAGCGAGGCCTCGTGATCACAAGATGAGCACATGGATCATATTCAAATAGAGAAAAGCCGGAACTAGGAGAGAGATAATCTGTTCTAGACATCTAAGGCAGGCTGTCTAAGAATGCCTTTCTTGGACAACTATTGGCATTAACATGTATACTTTATACAGCATGTTGTTTGATTGTTCGTGTGTATGACTGTGAAGTAAGGAGACATTTCATGCATGTCCACCTCAGGCAAAAAGTAGTACTTGGATAATATTTTTTAGCCTGGCTGGTCACCATCCCTTTGAGATCTCTAAGCTTGTGGAGTCTTCAGATGCTAAGAGACATTGGGGGAATTTATCAAAATAAATTAGAGCAGACTGAATCTGAAGTAGTTGACAATGGCAACCAATTAATTTGTATTTTCAGTTTGTTCAGGTAAAGTGATAGTCAAAAGGTTTTTAACCACTTGCTGACTGGGGTGTTTACACCCCCTTCCTGTCCAGGCCATTTTTCAGTATTCAGCACTGTAGTACTTTGACTGACATTTATGCCGTCATGCAACGCTGTACTGAAATTAATGTTATACCATTTTTTAGGGACAGATAGAGTTTTCTTTTGGTGGTATTTAATCACCTCTGGGGTTTTATTTTTTACTATAAAACAAAAAAAGTAACGGAAATTTTGAAAAAAAAAACTGTTTTCCCTACGTTATGTTATAAAACATTTATTATTAAACAAATCTTTGGTAAAATATAAAAGATGAGGTCACGTCGGGTAAATAGACAGCAAACATGTCAAGCTTTAAAATTGCGTGTACCCGCAAAGTCTCAAAAAACTACCATGCCCAAAATTGGGTATGAAAATGGGTTTGAAAATGAAAGCTAGAAGCTGATTGGTTTCCATGGGCAACTGCTCCAGATTCTATCTGCTCCAGTCTCAGTAAATCTCTTTTCTGCAGACTTTGTGAAATAATTCCGAAAAACACATTGAAGTAATGTAAGTTTTCTCACAATCAGGTGACAAGATTTTTTTAATGTTAGTGATATCTATAATGCCAGCTTGTCTGTGTTATGCAGAATGTTAAAGAAACCTGTGCTGAAATAAACTTGTAGACTTTTGTAGCTGACCTCAACTTAAAAGCCTAGTTGTATGTGTGTCACATACAACTAATGACTTAATTGCTTTGCCAGTTATCTAAAATATGTATGCAGACCAGGTACTTTGGTCAGGTTTCCATGCTGCATGTTTGCTCGGAGTCAGTGACTTTGAATGTCTTGTAGACAAGGAATCCGAATGAAAGTTAGGCAGCTAACATTTTTTGCAGATCACCTATTTCTCTCAACGAAGAATTCCATTATATAAATCAGTGAGTATTCTTGTTTTGAATTGCACTGGTTAATAACATTGTGACCAACTCAGTAGTAACAATGACATCCTGTGATTGTTATGTTTTATTGTTTGTGACATGCGTTATGAATTACTGGTATGGCTATTTTATGCATATGTTCATAATTTGTCTATAAAACTTCTTCCAAATAAATTGTTTTGAATAAGAATGCTTGTGTGTTGTATTCCAATTTCTGAGTTATGTGTGTGCTGTATATGAGTTTTCTGGCTGTGATCCCTACATCCACTTCTCCAGGGGATTGCTAGCAGCTATTGATTTAGAGGTCTTTCCGAAGAGCAAATCCCCTTTCAGGCTTAAATTTCCAGTGGGTCAGCTTTAATGTAGAAAAGATAAATGTTTCTATTCTGGTTTGTAATTCATCTTTAAATATCTCCAGTCTCTAATATTTTAGTGGATTTTTGTTGCAATTTGGTTCCACTTTCTATTTTTTTTTGTACACAACAACAGAAAAATCAATTGTTTAAGCTCTTAAAGCTGCGCCAAGATCTCAAATACAAACATTATTCCCACACTTGAACCCTCTTTTATATGCATTTGTATTTTAATAATTATAATTTTCTGTAGGTTTTTGTATTTTTTAAATCACCGCCTTTAAGCAAATCAGCTACTATTAGGGATAAGCTTCAAGTTCAGGTTGAACATAAGTTTGACCTAAACCCAGGCTGTTCACAGTTCCTAGAATGGGTGAACAAACTGGCCATATTTGGTAGTACTACCACAGCAAAATGACAGATCCCTGGTGAGCTGGTGTTTGTAAACAGGCCAGCCGGGGATGCTGGGTGATGTCATTGACCAAATGTGGTCATTATCATATTTGGTCAATGACGTGACACAGCATTCCTGGCCGTTTTGTTTACATACAGAACACGGCTGGGAATCTGTCATTTACAATGTAAGTAGTAGCAGGTGGACATCATCATCATTTTTGTGAATGAGCAAAAAGGTCTACTGTGCACCCTGTACTCATTCACCAGCGGTGGGCAGATATCTGGAGGCTCCCTAGTTCTAAAGTGGACTTCCAGCTTCACAGAAGCCCCCTACAGTCCCCACAACCTCAAAGTTGATTTCCCCCTCTCTGGCGACCCAGGCTGCATATTTTCTATGAATTTATAGGGTAATTTATAGGGTAACACCACACCACATTGAAAAATGTGTGGCATCTCAGTAAAACCCTTAGGCATACAGCTTGGATGGCCAGAAAAAGGGGGGCAGTGAGCGTGTACCATACAAGGCCTCAGGTCTTCAACACTGAGAGGATACCTTAAAAGGGAAGGTTGGCCAAGCCTTCCTCCTTGCAATCATCTTGTCCCCATGTTGAGGGGACAAGGGCCTTATCCCTGTCATTTAGCAGCTGTAGCACTACTACTGTGCTAGCATTAATGCCACACTAATGGGTCAGCAGTGCTGTCGCTAGATGTCAGATCCTCAGCTGATTGTGTTAAAAACAATAGGCACCCTAGAGCCATTAATGACAGATCCCCAGGCACTGTTTGTGAACAAGGTCCCTTTTAAAGGAGTTCATCGTACTGCTTCGCAACTTGACTTGAGGCATTCCCAAAGCAAAGGATTTGTGTAATTTTTATTGTTGCTTAAGTCGCTTAAGACCCTCTCCATGCTGAATGTTTTTTTGCAACGATACATATCCCCCCACGGCAATGACCATCAATGTATACCACTTTTTAACAAAGGCTTGCAAATTAGCTTAAGGCCAGAGAATGGGGTTCAGTGCTATGTTTGGTTTCCTTAAAGTTCCCGAGAGGGTTGTCAATTGTCCAGCATACCAAATTATGCCCAGTTCACTCATCACTATTATTAAGGTTTTTTTCTGCTGGTCTGGGGGGCAGGTGTTTATTGCTGATGAGTAGCGACCATTGCTGTGCATAGCAGAGTTGCATTATTTATGCTTTTACAGTGGTCCAACTTCAAAGAAAATTTTTTTTTTAGTTAGATTTGTTTTTGTAGTTTAGCTTAAAGTGTATGTTTGGGCAAAATAAAAAAGAAACCTTATGCGTACATCTTCCAGGTACTCAGATATCCTCTTTGGCCATAAGGTGGCCACTGATCATAGCGGAGTTACATCCTTCCTGGCATCAGGCCCTTTCTGGGATTCCATGAATAAGCTGAGTGTGTACACTGCACGGTGCATGTGCTGTACTGTGTACACAGAAAATGAAAAGTCACTGAGTAAGAGAAGAATCTCTTTTTGGCAGAAGA